TCCTCTGTTTTACTCTTCATCATTAATATCTAATGACCTAATTGACACATTGAAATCGGACTTCCCCCTGTTCCTGAGTGTTGCGCCAACAGCTGAGTTTGCTTCCGAGGGGTTCGTTTTTCCGCGTCCTGTCGCCGAAGTTTATCTGAAACAGTCGCTCACCGTTAAGTGTGTTTCATTTTCCTCTCTCTCACTTTTCTTGGTTTCGCAATCACCACAGTTTATTTCCTTCCGGTCCTTTCTCCCCCTGTTGTTTCCTTGTCTGAGTTCTGGTCTGGTTTGGTGTATATTTTCTTTCTTGTCCCATTGGGATAGCTCAGATTTCCATCACTGAGATCTACAGCGTTCTTCTCCTGCATGGGTAGTCCAGCCCTGTCCAGTCCCCCCTCTTCTCCCCTACCCCTGGTCCTGCGATCTGGGGTACTTCTTCCTCAACACCACTTTTGAGCACCCACCCCTCAGCTGCGTCCGCGATGGACCTTGTCGATCTTGTCCTGATACTGACGTCGTCTCCTTTGCTTACCATAGGCTCGAGAGCTTTTTATTACATTCTCTAGCGGAAATTGCCATCCACTCAACACCCCGTCGTGTTTTATTTCCTCCCACCGACAACTGTCACCTACCGCCCTCCCCTCGCTAGAGTTCCAGTATTTTCCCATCCTGCGTCGTTACGGTCAACATCTTTGCTCTCGCCTGATATCTTGATTTTCTTTGCTATCGGATGCAAAACCTGGTCTTAATACCTCACCCCTGTGTCGTCAAAGCGTTTATTTGCAACACCGCGGGCGCGCCTCGAGCGTCGTCGATATTGGCATTTTTCGTACCTTGGTGAACCTGTCGCAGCCCATATTATACTTCCTTCACCCTTTATCGGGCGTCACATAGCGGGACAGGATGGAGTCTCCTGCAGTGTACCCAGAGTCTCCTATGGAACAGGACGACACGCCATTTCCCTGCAAGGGCTGTGGAGAGGTATGCGAGCCCAGTCGGCATTGAGATACGTGGCATATACTAATTTTGGTGCCTTTTACTAGATTTTGGAAGAGGGAAAGGCATTCGAGCTGGGTAGGTTCGCACTCGGAGTGGCCATATCGTATCGGAAGCTGACAGTTAGCAGCGGGCAATCGGTGGCATATTGAATGTTTTTGCTGCAGCACTTGTGGCACGCTCCTCGACTCGGACGCCCACCTCCTCCTACTCGGTGACGGCTCGCTGATTTGTAGCAATTGCACGTACAGTTGCAGTTCTTGCGGAAACAAAATTGAAGACCTAGCCATCTTGACCGGAGAACAAGCATTTTGCGCGCAGTGCTTCCGATGCCGAAACTGTAAACGGAAAATCGAAAATCTGCGCTATGCACGGACGTCACAGGGTATCTTTTGCATGGACTGTCATGAGTCTTTAATGCAACGCCGCAGAAAGCGAAACCGTGCAGCTGCGCCTTCGAAGAAGCCAGCGCCCGGTGTGAAACTTGACAAATCGCTACCTTCGCTACCCCCAGAGGAAGCCGACCACGCACGATTCACAGACGACCTAGGACCGGACGCTTATGCAGAACCAGTCCCAGAGGGGTCGTCGCGAGGTATAACGCCTGCGCTGGACGCGGGGAGGATGCAGGGTTCCTCTGGTACTCGTACTACTGCTGATCAAGGTAAGATTCACTCTAAAAGGTTGATGACACTTACTGACCGGGATCTGTCTCAGACAACTTAATTCTTCCTTCGAGCACATATCGTAGTAACCGTCACTCGATGGTACAACGCGAACCCGAAGCAGATGGCGGAGAATTCCTTATTCCCCTGGCATTTGATCCTTCTGAAGAACAGCGGTCGCCTCAGCATTCTAAATCTCCCGGTTCTTTGCATCGGTCCCCTAGGGAGGGAACGGAGTCGGCGCCCTCGGGTAGCTCGTCACCACATATAGCGTACCAAGAGAAGGGCCGTGAACGTGTTGATGTTGACACCGCCCGCTGGCGGCAAGATGATACCAGCGCCTACTCTCGTCCAACAACTAGTGAGGACTCCAGAGCGCCGCCTGAACTGCCAAGACGTGCGAGGTCGGGCTCTCTTCAGAGTTCTCGGTCAGATTTGCCCCCGGGTCATAAGGAGACCAGCACGTTTTCCAACTCGAGTCCTGAGAGTACAAGGTCGGCAGCTACTCCTCACCGGGACACATCAACGCTAGATAGCTCTGTAGCTCAACCCATTCGGCCATCACATGAGCTTCGTCGCTTGCACGAGAATAGCGGGTCCTTGGACTCTGCGCGGTCGTTCCTGTCCTCTGGTAGCATGCAACACCCTCCCAAACGCGGAGATTCGTTGGAAAGCAAGCTGCACCTTACCAGAAAGGAGCCCGGTATGCCCCCTCGCCCACAATCTATTGCCCCGGGTGAGCCGTGGCTCGACCGAACCAAGGCTTCGCCTAAACTAGGTGAATCCCCTCGGATTTCACGCAATAATACCAACTTGGAGCAGTCGAAGCCCCCGCGCCCGAACTCAATCAACACCTTCCATCAGTCCGACTTACAGCGCCAGGTAGACCGTGCGGGGTCTCCATCGGTCTTACGGTATAGTGGTGCGGGCGACTTTTCTATGGATGAGGATATGGCCCGACTTATGTCATCTGATGACCCTCTGTCGGCACAGAATAGCGAGTCGTTCCTGCGTCGTGTTTCAAACTCAGTGCGTCATGGTCGCAGCTTCAGTGATAAAGGTTCTCATTTGTCCAAGGATACCAAATGGCCCAAGTCGCCGGTCAATGGGACCGCTCCGTTCCAAGACCTTGGAAGTCCCACCGCCGTCTCCCCAGAGAGCGCCGGACCTGAAGAAGTTGCATGGTTGCGGAGTGAGCTGCGCAAGGAGCGCCAGCGAGTCCTTGAGCGGGACCATAAAATTGTTGAAATGGAGGCAATGTTGAACGCCACTGCGGACGTGAAGCAAGCCAACACGGAGCTTAATGAGAAGCGCTCTACCATGGTTGTGCTGGACGCTCGCAAGGAGATTGTCATGCGTGAACTTTCGGTGTTGACCGACCATCTCGAAGCTGAGAAGCGCGGCGGTGGCGGCACTCTAGACCTTGGTAAGCTCACGAATCAAGTACTGCGGGAGTTTGTCGAGTCCATCCAGAAATTGAAGGACTCCTTCACACCTCAGATCGAGGAACTGGTTCAGAAACGCAACGAGACTGCCGAAGAACTCGCAAACTTTAACCGTATGAAGGACAAGAGCTTCCAGGAGTTCGAGCAGCTGTCCTCGAAGAATGCCCAGCTGGCTGAATTGAACAACCAGCTGGTACACCAAATCCAGGAGCTCTATAAAGCTAATTCTTCAGAGAGCAACCGCGGCGCAAATGGTCTCGGTATTTATTCACATGGAAAGGAGAAGTCATTGTCCTCCATTGATGCACTTAAGGCTGGCAGTAATGACTTGGCCACATCAATGTCGACAGCTAACATGTCTGAAGAGGCAGAGCCAGCCACCATTGTTCCCGGGCCCCAAGTTGTCAGCATTCGGAAGGGACAACCTCGCAAGTTCAACTGGAAGAAGGGAGGTCAAAACGTTGCCAAGGGTGTAACCAAGGGCCTCAATCGTGCATTTGGTACAAGTGAGAGCGAAGCTACCCCTGGTCTGCCACGGTCCCAGACGCAGGACCCTAGCCGCCAAGGATTTGGATTCTTTGGAAACCAGCGAAATAAGCAGGCTGGTACAAGGATGCCAACGACTGACAGTGTTCCAGCCTTGGCCGAAGTTGGCTCGGCAGGTATGTATCATCGACTATTCTGTCCGAGTCGCGTTAACTGATGAATTTTAGGTCTCTTTGGTACCGACTTGGAGCAGCGCATGGAGCACGAAAAGAGCATCATTCCCGCTATTATCACTCGTTGCATCCAGGAGGTCGAATTACGAGGTTTGTCCTTAATACCTGGCCTTTTAATTGCGCAAACTAACAGTCGTTTTAGGCATGGACATGGAAGGCATCTACCGCAAGTCAGGTGCTAGCTCGGCGATTCAGACTATTCGAGATGGGTTTGAGCGACAGCCACAGGACTATGATATCTCGGATCCTGACCTCGATATTCATGCGGTGACATCGGCCTTAAAGCAATACTTCCGAAAGCTACCCAACCCATTGATCACATTTGATGTGTACGAGAAGATTATTGAAACTGGCGAAATCCCTTCGCAGCCTGAGCGGATTGAGACCCTGCAGAAATGTCTTCTGGAACTCCCTAGAGTCCACCGCGATGTTCTTGAATTCCTCATGTTCCATTTGAAGCGTGTGGTTGAGCGGGAGAAGGAGAATTTGATGACCAGCCAGAACATTGCAGTTGTTTTTGCTCCAACAATCATGAGACCGCAAAGTTTGGCACGTGAGATGACGGATGTGCAAAAGAAGAATGATGTGTTGAAGTTTTTGGTGGAAAATTGTCAAGAGGTGTTCATGGGTCTGCAATGATAGAATATCCCCCCTCCTTGCAAGTCCATTCAAAGCTTGGTCTGGCATCAGGCTTCGAGGCTTTTCATTTTTGTTTTCCTTTCTTCCATTTTTGGACAATGTTCCTCAATTTCTCTACCACTAGAATACCCCAAGACTCATCAGCTCGACCTATGTACATATATGGCGATTTCTGTCACCCCTCCCTGAACCCCTCATGATCAGCGCCTCACGCTCAATACCCTTCTTGTGTTTGCAGTATGCCTATGTAATTCTCTGTTTCTTTTTACTCCATTCCGCAGGTTCGAAGTTAGTCCTTAGTTGCTGTCGGGGATGTTTTATGTGTGGATGTGTGCAATGCCTGGCGTTTGCAGCGCCTGGGTCGACGTCAGACTTTTGTGTATTGCGGCTTCTACCTTGTGTGCGTGATGTGTTATTCTAGCGTCTAGCAATGGGATAGGTATTATCATCCCGGCACTGTCTGGCGGATACCGCTTTAATGTTTGATTATGCTCAAGTGTTTTTTACATAACTGCTAAAACTACGGACCACCCATTCTCACCAATTCAAAACGTCTCATCCTCTATGCGCTGGACCCTTTGGATGATGCTGGGACTCTGCTCGTTTGCAATATCATCTGTTGTGTCATTTGCCCCGGCGGTAAATAACAAATCCTCGACAATTCGTCTGGATGCTTCTTTTGCTGTAGATTATCAGTCAACCTGTGCGATTACACCGGGCTAAGCGGACGAACCTGGAGTCTTCATTAACCTGCTCTGGGGAATATGGAACTGCATTGTTTTCGGCGGACTCGGCCCCAGATCCTCATCCTCGTCATTGTCGAAGTCATCGTCGCTGTCCCACACTGGTCGGTTTGTGCCACCGCTCTTTACTGGCGTCAATACACTAACCCCGGGCATTGGCGTAACACGCAGATGACTACTCGTACGTCGCTTCCGGTTGGTACCGGGGGTTTTGACAGGCGAGGAGAAAATTTCCGCATGGAGCTGGGGTGCTTCGGGTTCAGGGCTGGAGATCGGCGAGTCATCATAGGCATATTTGGACGCGGAGGGTTTCGGCGTTATAGTGAATTTAGAGCGCCCTGCTCCATGATCCTTTCCGAGCGGAGTGGCCTGAACTCGATACGTCTTGTCCTGGAGACGATGCAAGACCGGATCAGCGGGGCTCTTGCCCACAGAAAACTTTTCATGTGACACCGGAGGAACGAATGGCGAGGATGACATTAGCTCGTCGCGCGTGTTAAATGAATATCCCTGTGGGCGGAAAGGCCTTCCGGGGGTAGTGGGGAGATCATCATCTTCGCCTTCAAAGGGCGCGTCGCTCTCGTCGATTTCCCTCTTCAGAGCCTCGTATGGTGATGGCCGGGCGATGGACGACGTCACAGTCGTGTCGTTATCATCTGGTCGGTCGAAAACGGGCGGCCGGGGTGTGCTATGAGAGGACAGGCTCAGCGATGTCAGCTCCAGGTCGTCCGGGCGGTGGTTGATATCTAGATGGTCGGAGGAGGGTGTTTCGTATGTGCCAGTATCGGTAAGGTTGCTCGGTGTGGCGTCGGTAGTTAAGTCGCCTTCTGTTACACTTTGTTCTTGCAATGTGTCTTCGTTGGGTCGTTCCTCATAGCCTGAGAGGGAGACATTTGCGCTCGCCTCGAAGAATTGTTTCCAGAATTTGGCGCCTTCCCAAACATCGTGGGAGTGTTCTGCGTATTTCTCGACAAGGGGGAGGATACTAGTTGTAACGATTCGATGGGCCTGGCTGAAATTGTGGTCGATTTCTGGAAAAGCATTGGTTAATGATCTTCGTTGAACTCGGTCTTATCGTTGTTTACCTTGTAGGGTCAGGGTGATAGATTGTTCAAGCTTTTCCAATTCCTCAGTTAGCGTCAAGGGACGCTGGGACGTGGATGATGGCCGAGACATGTTCGCTGTCAATGAGCTCTTACATGTATAGTAACAGCAGTGGCGGTGGTAAACAGATGCTCAATCAAGCATAATGTTGATGTCCGACACGGAGGGGAAAAACAACGGAATGCCCAAAGCGGAGGGTAGGGTTTCCGGATAAGGGCTGTGTTGACGTCACGTGGCGGGCCGCGGGGTGCCGCGCATCTGATGACGCTCACATCGCCTTCCTTTTACTTGGCTGCCTGGCATGGTCATTTAGAGGAGGGAAGCGACACAATTTGACCACGGGAGGTCAAGATGCCAACACCGGTTGCAAAAGGTAAGTTCGCCTCTCTTTTCTCTTTATCTATATCTTACGAGCTCGTTGGCCGGCTCAGCCGGGCGGTGTGCTTATCAGTGGATGGTTGATATCGGTCTCCGTGGTGAGAGCTGGATAGCTAACACTCCCTCGCGTTGGTAGGAATAATTATCACTGTTTCAGCCCTTGTTGCTGCGGGCATTGCAGTTTATGAATCGCCTCAGTTTCGAGAATGGGTCAACACTTCGCGACGCAAGATTGCCGTCGCATTGCATAATCTCGGCGATGAGATCCACCCTCGAACGTCTGCCTCACCTACGAGGCAAGATATATCTATGACTGAAGAGCTGGGTCCGGAAGCTGAAGAGCGTAGGCGGATAGCAAGGGAAGAGCTCCAACGACGACGTTCCGTGCTCGAGGAACACCGAAAAAGAAGGGAAAGTGCCCCGGCGGGATCGTTCGATGCGCTTGTTGATGATAATGGCTGTTTGCTTCGGACTGACAGCCCAGAACCTTCTCGAGGACTGGGTAAGGGTAGCTCTACCGCCGTAGAGATGGCAGCATCCCAGGCTATCCAGCGCGGTAAACCTAATGCTTCTCCGACTCCTATGGCCGAAATGCAGGCTACTGGCACAGCTCTTACGAGGCAGAACCTGCAAGTGGCGATACCAGCAGCTGCAGGTGCGGCTGCAGCTTCTGCGACACTTATTGACTACACACCTACTTCCGAGACATCAGGTATGGACTTCTCAACATCTACACTGAATCCTACCGAGGAGGTCGAGCGACCCCTTTCACGGTCGTCGAGTCATACCGAGGGTTATTCAGAAATACTTTTTGCTCATCCGGGTCCTTCGCCGAATGAGCCTGGCCGCGATATGAGATCACCGTTCTCCGATCTGTCGGATTTGGATTCTACTGGCGCCGAACACCACGAGCGACCGTCTACGCCGTCAACGGCTGGTAGCTTCAGTCAGATTTATGAATCCGCTGCGGACGAATGGTCAGATGGCACGTTGAGTGACCATGGACGGTCGACGCAAGGAGTCGCCACCCCAGCCAGCTGGTCGGAGGTGGGCAGCGTAGTCAGCAACGAGGATTTGCACAATCGCTTGTAGGCATGTGGGAAATTTTTATAGAATAATTCCGATATTGGACAGGCTTGCTTGGAGGATGGCGCGGTATGGACGGGACGGGTGTCTCGGAGTTCTTTCGATTTTTGCTGATTATGCTGCAATTTCACATGGCTTTGTAGAATTTAAATTTAGTCCAAGCTTCCATACATCGCTTTAGTTTAGTTGCAGACTAAAAACCAATCCAAGGAGCTTGGCGATTATTAATGATTTAATGGTCGGATTAATCTTAGTCTGGTTAAGGGTTAGTTAATATGGGGAAAGCAGAATGAGCCTCGGCTCTTCCTCGGTTGCTGGTGGAAAAGGTCGCCTTCGCTCTCCTCCTTTCCTCTATATCACCGCTCTTCGTCCCTCTGCAATTCCTCTACTTTCTCTCACCAGAGTTAACAATAACTTGGTAAGTGATGTCGTGTAATTCCAATCCCCTCTCGCAAGTGCAGCAGCCTAGACCACCGTCCTTCCCCGCAGAGGTACATATCGCTGCTACCGCTGCTACATAATGAGCTGGCTGTCCCGTGTTCTTTCTATTATTGCTTCTGTGTCGAGCTTCAAACCGTGGAACTGCTAACGCGGTCTGGATAGATACATAACATACACCATGGCCACAGATCGCTTGAATTCCATTCTCAGCCACCTCAAGGGAGGAAACACTGGCCTTTCCGCCATGTAGGTTGCCGTCCGCATCACGCGGGGGAAGTATACTGACTGACTTGCGCAGCACCCAGAAAAACCCAGACGATGTAGTCATTACACTTGCTCTGCGTACTCCTTTGGCTAAGGCCGGCAAGGGTGGATTCAAGGACACAGAGTTGGACTACATAGTCTACTCCTTGTTGAAGGAGGTTGTAGACAAGTCCAAGATCGACCCTGCTTTGGTTGAGGATGTCTGCTTGGGTAATGTACGTTTTCCTACCTCGGCCAAAGAGAGGATTCATGCTGACAATACAAAGGTCAATGACGGCAAGGCCCCCTACCTCCTCCGTGCCGCCTCCCTTGCGGCCGGTATCCCCAACACATCCGGCGCATCGTCCGTCAACCGGTTCTGCTCCTCCGGCCTCAAGGCTGTTCAGGACATTGCCAACCAGATCACATTGGGTCAGATCGATGTCGGTATCGCCCTTGGTGCCGAGTTGATGTCTGCTGGCGGTGAGCCGGTCCGTCCTTTCAGCGAGGAGGTCCTGAAGAACCAGGAGTCTGCCGACTGCCTGCAGCCCATGGGCCAGACATCCGAGAACGTCGGATCGGACTTCAACATCAGCCGTGAGGTTCAGGACAAGTATGCCGCCGAGTCGTACCGCCGCGCGGAAGAGGCCCAGAAGGCTGGTTGGTTCGATGATGAGATCGTCCCCATCACCACCAAGGTGAAGGATCCCAAGACTGGTGAGGTCAAGCAGGTTACTTTGACCAAGGATGAGGGTATCCGGTATGGAACGACGGCCGAGTCTCTCGGCAAGATCCGACCGGCTTTCCCCAAGTTCGGCAACCGGAGCACTGGTGGCAACTCCAGCCAAGTGACTGACGGCGGTGAGTTCCTTCACGATCGATACTATACTTAGATGCTAATATGATGAAGCTGCCGCGATCCTCCTCATGCGTCGTTCCAAGGCCATCGAACTTAACCAGCCTATCCTGGCTAAGTTCTGTGGTGCCACTGTTGCTGGCGTTCCTCCTCGCATCATGGGTATCGGCCCTACCGCTGCTATCCCCAAGTTGCTCTCCCAGTTCAAGTTGAACAAGGACGATATCGATATCTTCGAGATCAACGAGGCCTTCGCCTCCATGGCTGTCTACTGTTTGCAAAACCTCGGCTTGGACCATGCCAAGGTCAACCCCCGCGGCGGTGCCATCGCACTCGGCCATCCCCTGGGCGCCACAGGTGCTCGCCAGATCTGCACAGTTCTTAGCGAGGCAAGACGGACTAAGAAGAAGGTGCTGGTCACGAGTATGTGCATTGGTACCGGACAGGGCATGGCTGGATTGTTCGTCAACGAACAGGTGTAAACAAGTCACATACCAACTATCCTGTATCTGACGCAAGTTTAGTATATAAAACAGATATAGGAAATAGCTTTAATGCAGTCATGTCTTCATTATCATTACTTCATATACAAAAATATTAGGAATAGATGCACACAGATTCAACCCAAGCCACATCAATTACCACCCTCTCTACTCTCATCGTCTCTCTTCTTCCTCATCCTCTCCTCCGCAGCTCTCGCCAACATTTCTCTCCTTCCCTCAGCACCTTGCGCCCCAGCCCTCATCCCTACCCCATCCTCCCTCAACCCACCCAGCACAAACTCGCCCCCAGTCCACCCACACTCATCCACAATCTCCATATCCTTCTCCGCCTCCCAATCCTCCGGCACATAGAAGTCCTGCCCAGTCAGTCTATTTCCTCCATGCTTCCAATCTGCCCTCTCCACCTCCTTCTCAATCTGCGCCGTCAGGTCCCAAAACGCGCGATCATGGTCACTATGCACACAATGCGCCAGCTCATGACACAACGTCTTCCGTATAGTCCGATAATCGCGATACCCATCGTACGCATCCGTGCGCAGCCGCAACTCAATCACCTCGCCCTTATTCCGATTCAACCCTAGCGTCCGCGATTCCATCGTCGTATGCTCTGCAGGATTCATCTCCGTCAACACCGGCACTGAGAACTTATGCTTGGCCATCGCAGCCTTGATCCCTGGATCGTCGCGCAGCCGCTTCAAGAACTCCAACGACCGTTCGGGGCGAGGCAAGTACGATAACGGCAGGAGTCGGTGGAACGTGTACGAGCTGCTTGAATCCGAGAGCGTATGCACGCCACCACTACCGGCCGTCCGGGCTGGTTTATGTTTCGCAGCTGCAGCGAATGCCGAGGCGCGCGCTGAGGCGCGGCGTGCGGTTTCCTCGGATTGCGCGTGCAGGGCCTCGATGGCTTTTGTTGGGGTGCCGAGGAGGGTGATTTTGAATTTTGG